AAAAAAATTAGAAGAGAACCAGATCAGATACCTTTCATAACTGTGGCAGGGAATGAATTCCTAACCAAAAAAAGGGACAGAAATGATTACAAAAAAATTAAATGGGTAATTTTTATCACATGAAATTGAAAAGCTTTAGCTTGAGTAAAATTAAGGCAACTAAGAGAAAACAGATAAAGGTAAATTGAGGGAAAAAAAATCTGTATATAACATCCCTGATAAGAAACTGATTTCCATGATGTATAAGAAACTAATACAAATACACGCTAAAAAACATTCTGCAACATATAAGTGGGTCAAAAGATGTAAACAAATGTTTCTCAAAAGAAAAACTGCACACTATTATTGAAAGAAAGTTCTAAATCACTAATAATAAGAGAAATTCAAATAAAAATAACTCTGAGGTTTAGCATAGGTGACAAAACATGAGAAGAGTGAATGTTAAGAGAAGCTATTGAAAGATAAGTACACTAATGATTAGTTAATGGAACTGTGAACTATTCTGGAAAGCAATTTGGAATTAGGTAAACAGAGTAATCATAATGTCCATTCCCTTTGTCCCAGACATTTCTTTGCTAGGTATAGATCCCAATGAGGCCAATGGGCCCTTCAAAAGAAGAGTTCTATGTAGACTAAAATATTTATAGAAGGGCTTTTTGTAGGGAAAAGAACCGGCAACAATATATCTGCCCATTAAATGCAGAACGATTAAACAAATTGTAGTGCATGAAAGCAACGGGATTTTACTGTGCTATAAGAAACAACGACTGTGATAACTACAGAGAAGCATGAAAAGACATAAGAGCCAATACAAAATAAAGAATAACTAATAATAAGAACTGGTATATATGTAGCAATTTAAGATTTGCAAAGCTCTTTACATATATGGTTTGATCCAGGAAAACAATATATACAAAATACTACAATAACATATATGGAAGGAACAAAAACAGCAAAATGATTAAAAATTGAATGCTAAGAAATGATCATGACTAAGTTTGCTTCCACAGAAGAGATATGAGAAGACAGAAGACACATTCTCCAAACCCCTCTTTACAGAGGTGGGGGACTATGGGTATGGATTAGCATCTATAACGTCAAGCTTTCGTCATGTGTTGATTAGTTTTGCTGAACTGATTATTTTTTCCTCTTTTTTATTTCTTGTTGCAGGGAATGGTTCTCTGGAGGGGTAGGGAGAAATTTACCTCAGAAAATATAAGTAATATAAAAGCAAAAGATTTCAATAATATGCTATTTCAAAAAGGGGTTTTTGTTGTTGTTGTTGTTTTGTTTCTGTTTTTCATTAAAGCAAGTCTAACTAAAACATCAAGTTTGGGGATGACTGGATTTCAAAGGAATCCTTAAGGGCAAAGTGAAAATGATGGTTATTTTAGTGAGTATGCTGAGTCCTTTGAAAGGAATGTCTGATATATCTCTAACTTCTAAATTTGGTAACAGATGGTTCAGGCAATATTGGGGAGCTTTCACAAAGTCTGAAGTGACACATGCAGACAAAGGTTCTAAAATATGCTATGTAGCATTCCTATTCACAGTCACAGCTGTTACACTTTTTGTCCTTTATCATATAATTCTAACTGTTGGTTTAGGGTCTCTCCCTGAATCCTCCCTCCCCCTCCCACAATAGTATCTTGTCTTCTGTTTCCATTTTAGGTCCCCAAACCACTATGTAGGAAAGGGACACTATAAAATTTCATCATTACACTGTTTAAAATAATTATATGCTAAGTTGTAATGATATCATAGTATTATACTCATAATACTCAGCCCCAGAACACAGCAAAGCCTCCTAAACTAAATCAAGAAAAAAACAGTGCTCAAATTTTTTGGTCTCACAAGCCCGTTACCTCCTTAAGTGTTTAGGACCTCAAAGAGCTAGTGTTTATGTGGGTCATATCTATTGATATTTCCATATTAGGAATTAAAATTGAAATTATAAAATATTTATGCATTTATTTTGAAGTGATAATAATAAATCCATCATATTAACATAAGTAACATATTTTTATGAAAAATAACTATATATTTCCACCCAAATGGTGAGAAGAATGACACTATTTTACATAGTTTTGCAAATCTCCTTAATGTCTGGTTTAATAGAAGATAGTTGGATTCTGCTATCTGCTTCTGTATTTAATCTGTTGCACTGTGTTGTTTTAGTTGAAGTAACAAGGAAAGTTTGGCCTCACATATATATGTAGTTAGCAAAAAGAAGTATTTAATAAGCTAAACATATCTTAGTATTATTTTAAAAATAATTTTTACCCCAAGGATTCCTTGTAAGGGTTTCAGTGACCCCCAGAGGTCAATGGACCACATTTTGAGAGCCACTGCAATAATAATACAAAACTGACCAAACTAACCATCCACAATGGAAAACAAAGTGGATGAAAATGTGTTTCCCACCACCACCACCACCACCACCTCCACCATTGTTGCCCAAATTATGACACACAGATGGGCATCAAGTTAGTATGACAGTATATATTTTGGATAGGCATTGCTGTGTGCACAAATGATGATGAGGAAGACATTTTTTGGGAAAATGCAATGTTTTCCATGAACTTTAGTTGCTCAATGCTGCAATAATATAACTTTAGTATCAATATTTTCCTATTAATACTGTATTACAGGGGAAATTGAAGCTATGTAAAAAAATTTTAAGTCAATAAAAAATTTTAATACTATACAGCTTATAATCTTGGAACATCACATTCTCTAAAGAATCAAAATTACAGGTACCCCAAATATTGGAGAAAGATACATGGTCAGTGTCTGCAAGATGTGGCACATTGCCGATATTAACATGGCTGTGAGGAGCAAAAGTGAAAAACATCAACAGGGACATGTATGGCCAGAAGAGGAGGTCAGGTAAACCATTCAATGAAAAGAATAACAAATGGACAGCATACATAACACATTGTTGCTCCTGATATATTAATAGGAGCTACAGGTAGACCTTTGGGATGTTAGGTGGATTCCCTATGAAAGACATGGACAAGAATTAGAAAATAAGGCACAGAAAGGTTGTGAACTGTACCAGAACAGCACTAATATAACATTATTGATATCATTACCTGGATTCTTAAATGAGAGATTCATTTAAGAATCCAGGTAATGATATCAATAATGTTATTCCAACAATAGTATACAGAGCTATGCACTCAGTGAACTCAGTGAATAAGCATTAGGTGGGGGATTAGCTTTAGAAATATGTTTTTTATAATAATATTATAAAATTTACATAAACGGTGCAATTCACTCTTAAGTTGTTTTTTTTTTCTGTGTAGATTATCCTTAGTAAATTATTAATCCTAACCTGGCCTGTCTCTAGTTAGTGTGAGCTCAAAAGAACAGAATCTAATTTTAGCATTAGCCTAATAAAAATGGTACTTAGTTGCCAAAATCCCCCACATAATGAAGTACAAGGTCAATGACAGAGAAGGCTTTTCAGACTTTTCACTGACTGGTGTTACTTCATCACTTACCCAATCTATCAGGCAAGAAGAATTGATGATAACTGAAATCACACAATACCTCTGATCCAAAGAATTAATAATCATGTTCACCCTGTCTTTTTAATTACATTCTGCCAATAGACCGCTGTTAACATTAATATTCCCTTATTCCAGAGTCTTATTTTGAAGAACCCAGAGGCTAAATTTCAAAGTGATCAGGGAAGGAAAAGTGGTTCTCTCATTTTTATAAGATGGTGTCTAATCGCTAGTAACCTAAATGAAGTTAACATTATACAAGAATAAGTTTACATCCTTGGAATTATTAACTCCAAGAAGGCAAGCCTTTATGCTAAAGAAATAAAAGAGTAGGTGGACAGATAGGAAAGAACATTGAGCCAATGTTACAGTTCGTTAGGTCTGCATTAAAAGTTAACATGGGTGGGCAACTCCATGGTATATGTGGGGCAGTCGGCATCAACATCCGTCCTTTCCTGCAAAAGGTGTTGGTCTTTATTTGTTCATTTATGACTCTTTACTGTAACAATGGGAAATTCAGGTGAGTTCCAGTAGCTGAGTTTATTAGGGAGATTTCTTCACACATACCAGTGTCTGACTATAAAATATCAAGGTCTTAATCCATTATGTCAATTTAGTTTCACTTACATGGCTGCCCACTATGAACTTACATTCAAAATCTCTACTCAAGGATCAATCAGTGAAAGATCATATGACAAAATCCAAACACTAATTTGTAAGTAACTTCGAAAATGAGAGAATCACTTGTAGATTATTTCAGAGGAGAGAAAGGCTTCTATTATTTCATCCTAGAGACTTAAGTTCTAGTGGCAAACATTGCTCCATCTTTTCCCATAGCAGCAGGGACCCAAAACATTGAGGCTCAAAGGCTCTTTAGGCAGAAGAGAGGGTGGAAAAGGGGAAATCTGCATTAGAAGGAAAATGCATTCATCCACTAGAGACTACTTGGCTGACAAAAAAGGAGAGGGGTTAATGCTGGGCACCAACCTGTGAGCACGGCAGCCTTGTGACTGTACCAGGAAATTGTTACCATCCAGGATAGTAGGGGAAAAAAGAAAATGGAGAAGGAACTGGAAGGTAATGAGAAAACAGGAAATTCAGCCCCAGAGTAAAATACTAGAAAGGCTTTTAGAGTAGCTGAAGGGAGCTAACTCCATTCAGAGAAACTGAGAATGTGTACAAAACAACTCATTATTATGGATGGATGGGCTCTGCCAGCAGAGGAGCCATTCAGAGCATTTGATTCAGCCACCAAAATTCCAGCTGTTAATTTAAATTCTTTTTTCTTCATTGTCCCCTTTCTTGGGATTGTTTTCTGGTCACCTGTATAACCAGCCTATAAATACTGAGCCTGGGAGATTCGGGGGGTGAGGAAGGGGGGCTAAAGAGAGAAAGAAAAACCCCATCTATTTAATGACTGCATTTTAGGAGAGGGGAAGGGTATTCAAGCAAACAAACTTTATTTAACCATAAAAACTTTGAAATTACCTTTTTGCTTATTTAAAAACAGCAGTGGGGGTGAGGACCAGATATTTTGCCCAGAGTCCTTTGAAGACCGATGACTCTGACTAACACCTGTCACGTCAGCTGCTTTCTTCTGGGATATTTTCCCCTGCGGTTCTTCAGTTCTGCCTTCAGACGTAGGGAGCTCAGTGCTGATTTGGGGGGAAACAAAGGAGCCCTTCAGGTACGAGGCGGACTCTGCCAGGTTTTGTCTGTTCATTTCACTCTCCTTGACGCTGTTGTCCACATCGTATCCGGAAGCCCCAAGGTTCTCTGTCCTGGAGCCATTTTCTTCCTTGATAATGTCCATGATTATGGGCTTCATCAATGGAGAGTCCTGCTCCCTTTTGGGGCTCTCCTCAGAAGCAGAGGAAGCATCACAAGACTCAATGATGAGCTCACTGTCCAGTTCAGCCTCTCGCTCCTCCCTCAAGATGCTGTACTGTATGGAAGGGGAGGCAGGAGATGGTGGAGGGCCACTGATATGGCTAAAAGTCATGTAGCTGGACTGCAGTACTTCTTCTGCAGCCAGAGGATCTTCAGAGACAAGCTCTATCTCGGAGTCACCAGATTCAGTGCCACTAACTTCATGGTCCAAGGGGCATGGAGCAGCTGGCGGTCCAGACTTGTTTGGGGGCTCTGGTTTTTCAGGAATCTGTCCCATTGTCTGCTGGCTTTCAGTGGTTTCCAAAGATAATCCCTTTGCTTCCTTGATGGCACTGATAAGTTCATCTTCTGAGAAGCTGCCTTTACCTTGGGACTCTGAGCCAGATGGTTCTGTTATTCCATAAAAAGAGAAAGAGACAGGGAAGGTACATACACATACACAGAGAAAGACAGACAGACAGACAGACAGACAGAAGAAACAAAAATTCTATTAGAGAAGATGCATTATCATTTCTTCAGAAACACAAAATCTTGCAGGCAAAAATCTAGGTTGTTTCCAAGGTTAAGCACATAGACAGGCCACCTGCCTAAAAAGCTAATTACTTTTATGGTCCAATTATTAAAGTTATGTCTCTCTGAAGGCAACTAACTATTAAAAAATAAAACAACCCCAGCATTAACAATTTCTTACAAAGAAAATTTTAGTTTTGTATGTTTTAATGCAGCACATGACATCTAAAAGTCAGTGCTCTACTTTTAATTTCTCTATTTGGAGAAGATATTTTAATATCAATGATGCAATTTTGGTTAGCAATGCAACCTGTTATTCACTGCCCTCTCAACCTACCACTATCAATGTAAAAATAAATGAAAGTAAACTATTTTTCTTTTTCATTCAATCCAACTCTTGTATCCTCTTCTCCTAGAAAGAAAGGGCAGGTTTATGTTGCCATAAAATCAAGGATTTGGGGGTGACCTTCTGGGGTCACCTGGTCTAATTTCTTCATTTTGCAGATAAGGAAACCGAGGCCCAGAGAGGTGAATGTACTTGCCCAATATCACACAGGGGGTAAATAGCAGAGTCAAGACACAAACCCAGGTCCTCTAACATTTGGATATTTGTCAGTTCTGGCTTTCAGGTTCAAGAGTATGTGCAGATATTAACAGGATGAAAATAGTGCCTTGCAAATTTTCTTTTTGTTCAAACCAGTGATTTCATCAGTGTAGGGAAGTATGTTGTAGAAACTCCCTCCCCTAACATAGATGAGCAACTCTTCTGTAACTTAAAGTCTCAGAGAATTGTATGGGGGCACAGAGGTAACATGGCCAAATTCTGCAGCCAAGTCAGACTTTGAACTCAATTCTTCCTGACTCTAAGGCCAACTCATTCACTATGTCATACTATCTTTTGTCCTGTATAGAGTGGATACTAAATAAATTTGTCAAACTGAATTTAATTATTGCTCTTTTTAGTACTAAAAAATGCAAATATTTGGGGCAATGGGAGTGAAAGAACTGTACTGTTTCCATAAATCAGGCCAGGTCACTAGACAGAATTTCCATTGCTCCTCTTTCTTGCATTTACCAGTTCTTACATGTGAAAAATGAAAAGTACCCCCACAAAATGAATTATTTGGCTGCTTGTCAGAGGTAGCCCAATTCAGATGCTGATAAAGAATATCCTAAACTTTTGTGAGCATTTTGTAATCTTTGGATGAAACTACCCTAGAATGCCTTTGAGGGCACAAAGATGGCTCCGCAAGGCTTTGTTTCAGGGCCCATTCAAACGGGGATCACAGATTTAGAGATGGAAGGGTCTTTGAAGCTCAGAGAGGACAAACAAGTCCCTCATTTTATAGATAAGGAAAGTCAGGTTGTGATTTGCCCAAGCCATACAAACCACAAGGGGCAGAAATGGGATTTGAACACAGGTCCTTTGACTCCCTAGTTATCACTTGTTCCACCATACCATCCTAACTTCTCTAAACTCTGTGTGGATAAGCTTTTTTTTTTCAAAGTCTAAAGATTAGTATAAGGAGTTAGTGGGTTGGAGTGGAAAAGATAGAAGTATCATGTATGCAATGTTGGGGTGTTGATAGTAAAGTTCGAGTGGCAGAGGGGAAGATGACACCTGGTTTGTAAAATGTTTTATAAATATTATTTCATTTAATCCTCACACCAACCCTGAGAGGCAAATGCTATTATTATCCCCATTTAACAGATGAGGAAACTAAAGGAAACAGAGGTGAAATGACTTGCCCAGGATCACCATCAGCAAGTGCTTGAGGCTGGATTCAAACTCAGGTCTTCTTGATTCTCAGTCCAGCACTCAATTCATTGTGCCACCTAGCTATGTCTCTCAAATCTATCAATAAATCCCAATCTATTTGGTGGAGATCTCTATTTAAGTGTTAGGGGATGGGGTTAATCTTTCACACTTTGCCCAGACTTGTGATTCCATAAGTACTACATTGGAAGTTTCCACACACCTGGAATAAAATAATTCCTCTTAATAATCTGACTGTCAGAGAATCTGGGTTCAAAGCCAGATTCTGCTGTTTGCTGACTACATGACCCTCCATCTCAATTTTTTCATCTATAAAGTGAGGGTGTTGGACTAAATGACCTTTAAAAGTCCTATTCTGGCCATAAATCCTGTGTATAGAGGCAGCATGATTTAATGCTGCAGTTCTCAAAGTTGATCCAGTAGGACAAAACTTTTTCACAATCCTAAAATGTTATTTGCCTATTAAAATACTCCTTCCTTTTCCAACTACTTATCTGTGCATGACTGACTTTTCTTCACAAACTTCAATAAAATCACATAGGACAACAGATGGAACGTAGAAGCAGATAGGAGAATCCAGTTGTTTTCTAAAAAGCCAGACTTTGAAGAAATATGCAAAAAATCTGTAAAACAATACCACTCTTCTCACTAACTTTTTTGTTTTGGATAATATTTTGTTGTTGTTGAGTCGTTTCAATTTGTGTTCGACTCTCCATGACTCCATTTGGGGTTTTCTTGGCAAAGATAATGGAGTGGTTTGCCATTTCCTTCTCCAGCTCATTTGACAGATGAGGAACTGAGGCAAACAGGGTTAAATGACCTGCCCAGAGTCACACTGCTAGTAAGTATCTGAGGCTGGATTTGAAGTCAGATCTTTCTTACTCTAGCACTCTATCCAGTGTGCCACCTAGCTACATTTGGAAAATGTATTTTTTTCATAAAAATGTTAACATATAATAGGTTTATTGTTATTTTTAATGAATTAAAACATTCATATGTTTAAAATTTATGTTTTAATTTCTAATACAGTAAATATAATAGGCATTACTCATATAAATGAAAACTCTTTGGGGTCCCCAGTAATTTTTAAAAATATAAAGAGTTTCTGAGACCAAAAAGTTTGAGAAATGTTGTCTAGTAGAAAATACATTCACACTGTGTCTAGATTTGCAACACCTACATCTAGTCCCAGCTCTACTATTTACTACCCATATGGTCTTAGCAAAGTTATTTCTTCTCTCCAGACCTCAGTTTCCTCATGCATCCTATTCAATAATTGGAATGTTTCTTTACCCAAATATCCTAATTCATATATGAAGTTCTTGTTATGTTAGATTGTGCACACCTATTTTCCTATGTGACTTCACACACTATGGCAGTTATAAAAATTGTTGGATTTCAGGAGGGATGAGTGGGCCAAGAGTAAAGGACTACACAAATTAAGAAACTACTCATTTCTCAACACAAAGATTGAATTTGCTTATTTTCCTTTTTGAGTCTTGAGGTCTGAAAAGATTCATCTGATAAACCTGATGTTTCTTCCTACATTCCCGCATTAGAAGAGGTAAAATTAGCATATGATTACATGGAATTTAGAAAAAGAATTGTAGTGGGGATTTCTATTCAGGCATTGGTTGTAGTAGGTAATTGCTGAGGTCCCTTCCAACTCCTAGGGCCTATGAAAAATGCTACCCTGCTAAGTCCAAGAGTTACAGCATGGGGCTTTTCAATGTTTCCCTTGTTTTTTGGTTTGTTTTTTGGTATCCTGTGTATAAATGGAGCTAGACCATTGAGGTAACATAAAAAACAGTATGTATATTTACCATCACCTCTACCCATCAACGTCCCAGCTCTGAAGTAAGTCTTGCTCACTGGTTCCCAGGATGGTTAATGGGAATGATAACATGGCTATGTTTTCTCAAAATGTGGATTACAGAGTAGAATGAAACTTTGCATAGGGCAAGTTAAGATTTCTAGCACCTGGCACACAGTAGGCACTTAAATGTTTATTGACTGATTGCTTGATCTACTTGCTTTGACAGCTGCATCACCAATAGACACAGCTGGTCATAATGCTGCCAGACCGGAGCAATCCTTCAAGGCTTTGACACTTCTTCCATGAAGCCTTCTCTGATAACTACGGTGAACACATATGTAAAATAGAGATATTAATAGTACCTACTTCACAAGATTGCTGTGAGATTCAAACTAGATGGTCTTTGTAAAGCACTTTTCAAATCTCAAAGCACTACATAAATGTGAGCTATTATTATGTCTACTTTCTCTGTTCTCCTATAATTCTTATGGTCCATATTACACAATTTAGCTCTTATATAATGGTACTGCTTCATAAGTATTCATTGTATTTCTCCAACTAGATTGTCAGCTTCTTGAGGACAAAGGTCAAGCCTTTAGATTTTTTAAAATCTCCTCCCCCACTGAATTTAGCACAATGTTTGGCACAACATAGATTTTAATGTTTGATTAGAGGTAGCATGGGAGAGGTACTTAAAGAAAACTCCTCCCTCTTTGCCTGAGATGCTTTTAAGCAGCAGGGACACATACTTAAGCACAACTAGAATGTTATTCATGTTTCTGGGATATATACTTAGCTCATGTTTGGAGAAACACCATAGGGTAGCTCCTCCATGAAGCCCTCCCTCAGTCCCTGCTGCCTGTCATGACCCACTACTCTTTATATTTCACATATCATTTTGCTCTGCACCTGGGAACTGTTTCATATTTGTCTTTGCCTCACCACAACCTACAGCAATACCTGGCACACAATATGTGTTTTAAAACATTTCTTTATTTTATGTGTGTAATTTATGTATGTATGTAACATGTAATATTACGTAGTACAGTTATCTAGGTTTGTGTCCTCTGGGGTGGTGTGCCTATTGTTAAAATTTTAATGTAGGCATTCATACCACAGAAATTAGTATAAATCAGGGCTTGCTTTATTGTTTTGTTGATTGTCTAGGCTTAGGAAGTGATGGACAAAATGTTAATAATGCAGATTAAACTTAAAAGTGTTGGGTGAATATCTTTTTTTTGGAGACTGGTTATTAAACATTGACCAGCACACTCCAGAACTGTATTTCTCCACTAGATTGACTGCAAGATTCAGGAGATCAGCATGCCTTCCATAGCATAATGCTCTACATACATCTTTAATGAATGATTTAATGCTTAATAATGAGCTATTAGCAAAAAAAATCATGAGAGAAGCATGACTGCACATGAGATTGCTTCTGAGGTCCCTTCCACCTCTAGACTTAAAACCCTATGATTCTAATAAACAAAAATTTGAATAAGAAAACATTTGAGTAGAAGACACAGAGGCAAATAAACATAGTTTAATGAAGATTAAAAGGAAAAGAATGGGGCAGCTAGGTGGTCCAGTGGATAGAGCTCCGGCCTTGGAGTCAAGAGGACCTGAGTTCAGATCCGAACTCGGACACTGGACACTTACTAGCTGTGTGACCCTGGGCAAGTCACTTAACCCCAACTGCCTCACCAAAGAAAAAGGAGAAAATATAATTTGGGGGATATCATCTCTAGAAGATGCTATGCTAGGTGAACCATCTGACTGGATCCATGCATGTTTTGTTGAAATGAATCAGTTGGTACAAATATAGCCTCTATTCAGAAAAGAGATTAGTGAAAATCTCAAATGGTCCAGATGGGATAGCTGATGATACTCCTCAAATTAAAAAAAAAATCCAATCAATTCAATTTCAAAATTATAAATGCAAAGATGCTTGTGGGTGCCTTCTTTCTTTTCAAACATTTCTTGTCTGATCAGGACCAAGAGAATAAAAATAAACAAACACAGATACTGGAACCTACATTCCTCACATTTTCACCCAGGAGCAACTGAGAGAACAAGAGAAAACGGACGCACAGCCTGTATCTACTGGGTTTTGTTTCAGAGACTAGCCACCTTCACAAAACAAGCTGAGTCAATTTCCTTAATTCCGAGGCATCAGGCAGGGTTTCCCATTGCTGAAATGAAAAATGTGTGTATTACTCCATAGGTTTGTTAATGTGCCGTTTCGGTAGTCTGTCTGTCTGTCTCTCTTTCTCTGTCTCTGTCTCTGTCTCTCTCTCTCTCTCTACATCTCTTTTTTCTTTGTGTCTCTCTCACGCTGACCTGGCATTCCTAGTTCTTGCTCTAAAAACAGTATCAGATCCTGTGAGATCCTTCCCAATTAAGCCCTATCTATAGAATGCTCTGACACACTATGCCGGAACTAATCAGCAAGGGAGCCAAGCAGTAGAGGTACCACTGCTTCCCAAATTATGCCACATTTTAAGAAAACAACACCATACTGTGCACAGCGCTGTGCTGGTTCTGTGGGGGATGCCAAGAAGTACAAGGCACAGTTCTTGTTCTCAGGGAGTTTGCAGTTTCATGGAGGAGATAAGAGAAGTACACAGATAAATAAATATAAACTAATTAAATGCTGCATCGGTGGTTGAAGTGGTAGCTGTTTGTCCTTTATTCTTTTTTTTTTTTTTTTTTGCCTAGGCAATGGGGTTAAGTGACTTGCCCAGGTTCACACAGCTAGTAAGTGTTAAGTGTTTGATCTGAGGCCAGATTTGGACTCAGGTCCTCCTGCCTTTAGGGCTGGTAATCTCTCCACTGCACCACCTAGCTGCCCCTTGTCTTTTATTCTTGAAGAGGACCATGACATCAGAAAGGTGATTCCATGACTTGCAAGTGAACTGGATTTAAGTGAGATAGGGCTGTGCAAAGTCACCAGCCTCACTTTCTCCTCCGGAGCCATCTTGGTCCAGTGGCAAGATATAGATCAGGATAACTGGAGATGGCCTCGATGCAGTGGGAGACCTTGACCTTTTAAAGCTAAGGTCTTTCATAGTTTTCACTTTGACTGAGGCAACACCCATTCAGTGATTAAGGCTAGGTAAGAAATGAGCCAAGGAATGGCCCCATTTACCTAATTAAAAAAATCAATCTGAGACAGGAAGACCTTTAGGGTTTCTGTCCAAAACAGAAAATTAATTTACATTCACTTCAGAGGAAGAGAATACTTTTTGGAAGTATTTAGAAAAGTTTCTTGCAGAAGGAAGGAACAAAACAAGCATTTATTAAGCACCTACTATGGGCCAGACACTGTGCTAAACACCTTACAAATATCTCATTTGATCCTCACAACAATCCTGGGAAGTAAGTGCTATTGTTATTTCAATTTTACAGATGAAGAAATAAAGTCAGAAAGAAGTTAAGTGCCCAGGGTCACATAGCTAGTAACTATCTGAGACTAGATTTGGACTCAGGTTGTTCTGGCTCCAGTCCCATCACTCTATCCACTGTACCACAGCTAAGAGGAGAGAGTCTGAAATGAACCTAAAATGGCAGGATAAGAAGAGTGGACTTTATTCAATTAAAAAAAAAGGAGTCACTGAAGATTTTTTGAGCAGAAGGATAACGTTCCCAGAATCTCACAGTTAGAGTCTCTAAGGAAATCCAGCCCAACCCATGCCTGAACTAGAATTCCCTCTACTTTTGTTGTTGTTCAGTCGTATCTGACTCTTCATGACCCCATTTGGGGTTTTCTTGGCAAAGATAATGGAGTGGTTTGCCATTTCCTTCTCCAACCCACTTTACAGATGAGGAAACTCAAGCAAACAAGGTTAAGTGACTTGCCCAGGTTCACACATCTTTTAAGTGCCTGAAGTCAGATTTGAAATCAGGAAGATGAGTCTTCCTGACTCCAGGCCAGAGTTCTGGCCAGAATTGCTTCTACAACTTACCCTATAAATGTTCATCCAGCCTTCACTTGATGACCTCCTGTGAAAGAAGAACCTATGACCCCTTAAGGCAGCCCATTGAGCATTTGAATAGCACTGATGAAATAAAGAAAAATTTTCTTTAGATCATAGCTAAATTTGCCTCTTTATATCTTCTACCCATTACTGCTAGTTCTCCTCTGTGGAGACAGGCATAATGAGTCCAATCCCTCTTTCGTGGACAGCTGTTCAAATACTTGAACACAGCTATAATTTTGTGATTTTTTTTTGTCCTTGATCTTATGTTCTGGTGGGCTAGAGTGTGATCCATGCAAAACACTAACTACTACTCGAAGAAGGAAGAAAGAAAAAAAAGCATTTCTAAAACAGTACTATGTGTGAAATGCTTAACAAGTATTTCATCTGAACCTGTGTGCCTACTAAGTGTTTTAGGATGGATTTGAATTCAGTTCCATCTTAACTCGAAGTCTAGTGCCCTATCCACTAAGACATCAAGCTGCCTCAAGAGCTGCATGAGAAGTCAGACTTTCATCTTTCCCCCCCCAAGGATGTCCCATTGCCATTTGTTATGGCCACTAGTGACCATCTCCCCTCCCCCCAAATGAAAGGAGAAGGAGTTATTGACTAGAAAACATGATGTCTTATTTCAGTTCCTCTTGACAAATACCTGAGATATGAGAACTGATTATCAATACTAAGCATGCAAAAATTTTGAAGGTCTAACAGCTGGTTAGTGGAAAATCTAGACTTGAATTCAGATCTCTGGAACCTCAGGTCAGGATACTTGCTCACGCCAATTTTGTTGTTGCTTCACTGAAATGGCTGGATTCAGCAAAACAACCTAGATGAGTCTTTTTTTTTTGCCTTTTTTGGTGAGGCAATTGGGGTTAAGTGACTTGCCTAGGGTCACACAGCTAGTAAATGTCATGCGTCTAAGGCCACATTTGAACTCAGGTCCTTCTGACTCTAAGGCTGGAGCTCGATCCACTGTGCCATCTAGCTGCCCCTAGATGAAAGATCCTTAATCTGGAATCTATGAACTTTAAAAATTAATTTTTAAAGAGAAGTTTAAATTTTTAAAATTTAAAAATTAATTTTTAAAAAGTTTAAGTTTTTTTAATTTAAAATTTTAAAAAATTGGAACTATTTCAATATAATGGGTTTCCCTTGTAATTCTATGGATTTTATTTTGTGCATTTAAAAACATGATTCTGAGAGGAGGTCCATAGGCTTTATCAGTCTGCCAAAGGGGTTCATGACATATAAAAAAGGTTAAGAACCCCAACCTAGAAAGATAGATAGCAGCCCTCCCTGTCCTGAACAGTATATATACATTTGAAGTTTAGTTTTTGACTGGCCATCCTCTAATCCTCCCCTCAAATAAAGAACAAAGCTTTTTATAAACCAACACAGGGAGGAAGTCGAAGTAAACTCTAGATCTACTTTTGTGCAATGGTTGTATTTCCCACTCCTTAAGAGTTGTACTGGGGGCAGCTAGGTGGTGCAGTGGATAGAGTGCAGGCCCTGAAGTCAGAAGGACCTGAGTTCAAATCTGGCCTCAGACCAAACACTTGACACTTACTAGCTGTGTGATCCTGGGCAAGTCACTTAACCCCAATTGCCTAAAAAAAAAAAAAAAACAATTGTATTAATAAAGTTTGGCATATTAAATTTAAAACAAGAGTTCTTAACATGGCATCCTCAGATTTCTTGTCCTTGCAAAGATTTCAAAGGGTTTGTAAACTTTCTGTGTGTGTGTATATATATATATATATATATGTATGTATATTTATATGTATATTTGTATGTATGTATATGTATGTATATGTATATATACCCATGTGTATGTGTGTATATATATATACATATATACACATGCGCGTATGTGCATATATAGCACTGTATTTCACTATAATTGGTTTCCTTTTTAATTCTGTGTATTTTATTTTATACATTTATAAATATAATTCTGAGAAGAAGTCTATAGGTTTCATCAGACTGCCTGAAGGCCATAACATAACAAAAGGTTAAGAACCCTTGATTTAAAAGAATAGTGCAAATGAACATATTTGTAATTTATTTATTGAATAAATTCCACCCATTGCTTTTTTTTAAAGTAGGAACACTTGTCCTTTTTACCTGTTGCAGAAGATGGTGGAGTCGTTGATCCCGGGCTGTCATCTTCTGGTTCTGAGACAGTAACTGTTGGCACTGTTTCGCGACTTGATTTCAGGCAAGCATCCTGCTTCTCCGGGCTCTTCTCTTGGGCAGAAGTCTCAGCAACTGGCTCTATCTCAGTCAGTGTGATTTTGACTGGTGCTGTAACCAGGGAGACACAGTGCTGATCCTCAGACAAATCATTTATGTACGGTGCAAATGTTGATTCTTCCGATAAATGTTCTTTGGCTCCCTTTACCTCTACAGGAGCCTGTGTCTCAGGCTCAGAGGTACATTCTGACTTTACTGATGTTTCAGCACATTCATTCTTAAAATCGGAGTCCTTGCTTTCCTGGCCCGATTCCCATTGTTCCTGGTATTTTATTTCCTCTGGCCTACTTATGTCAATGTATTTATAAGCTTCTGCTTTCATCTGGTCTAGGGGATCTGCTAAGGTCTTATTCACATCTTTACATTCTGCAGGAGTCATCTCTATTCCAGAATCAGAACTAAATAAACCATGAGACTCCAAGCCAGGTGCTTCTTGCAAGGAAGGGCCTCGTACATTCGGCTCTTCAGTGCTCTCTGAACTGGTAGCACGATTGCCTTCCTTCTGAAGGATTCCAGTGAAATACATAGAATCCTGCTGGGACGAACAATGGACGTCCGAAATCAAAGATGTGTAAAAGGCTCCTTCTTCTTTTGCTGCTGCTGGAGAAGTATAATCTCTAGCATAAGGGTCATCTGCAACACCTACAAATCAAAACAACAGCAGTTAACAATAGCTGTGCAAATGGATTAACTCATTCTCATTTCTTGGTGTGCTAGGAACTTATGGTTCTGTAATAGCACAGATATTCTTCTCAAAAAATTTCCAAACATGAAGTTATTTGTGGCTTTGGTTACTTTTGCAAAAAGTTCAACAAATATTCTTCATCTGATCATGGGAACATTTAAATTTTCTTGGTTTGAATTAAATTGAATTAAACTGAATTGACGAACAGAGGCACACAGGAATTTCATTTCTAACTCAGAGCATGACAACTAAATCATATTCAGTGTTATGCAAAGATCTGTTTATCCAATTAATTTGAGACTCCTCTCTGAGCAAGGGGCAAGTTAGAGGTAGAGACCTAGGGAAAGGTCATACTCCCGGGCCATTTAGTGGGAGAAGAAAGATATAGTCTCAAAGGAACCAGCTCCTCTCCCAAATTCCTAAAGGAAGAAGAAATAGAAAAGACCGAGAGCCTAGCCAACTCTTGCTCCACATCTACCGCTTACATTTATTTGTATCATCTAGAACAAAATCAGAGAAACTCAAAAGTTGGAAGGAGCTTCAGCAGTCATCCAATTCAACTGATACTTGACTAACAATCCCCTCTACAAAAGCCTCAATAATCAGTTACCTTGCCATAATAATAATAATAATAACTATCATTTATATATTCCTTACTATGTGTAGGCTCTTTACAATTAATATCTCATTTGATCTCCACTTGAGACCTCAAGATAGGGACAGTTCATTACCTACTTTGGCTGTATTCTCCTAGAATTAACCATTGTATTGTTCCCTTTTTCCATTTATGACTCAGCACAACTGGCTCTATACCTTCCTGAATGAGGCTTTGATTGCTTTCTCTTGGCACCAGTGAAGCCTGTGATATACTAGATATTTGCTCAATTCCTGTTAATCTAGAACATCCCCAAATTCTGCCTCAGGTTATTACAACACAAGGCTGCATCACCACAGAACTGCCTTTCTGAACAGAAACATTTCTTCCCAAACAACAGATAAATGTTCACCCTTCTAATAAAATAGGGAACACCATCATGCATATGAATGGTTTGATCAAATCCCCAACGTTCAGATGGGTTTCTGGAGAACCAGCATCCTATGCTTGGCATTAGGAAAAGGTTAGAAATAACTTAAGCAAAGTTATGCAAGGAAAAGGATAAAATCAATACAAAGTAACTCTGGGAATTGTAGGGCATCTGGAAGTTATCAGTCCAGGCATTCATTACTCAACAATCCCCAAGTTCCTGTGGCTATGACTTTTGAACTGGTGAAATGGTCTTCATCATTGGAATTTGGTTCTGGAACAGTATATGTCATTGAAAAGGAATCAAAAAAAGTATGGAAATAGATAGAGTTACACTGTATATTAAGAAGATATAGGGAGTTGTGAACTTGTTCAGACATTCTAGAGAGCAATTTGGAACTACACCAAAAAAGCTATTAAACTGTGCCCTTTGACCCAGCAATGCCACTATCAATCAATAAACGTTAATCGAAGCACCTACAATGTGCTAGGCACTGTGCTAAGTGCTGGAGATACAAAAAAAAAAAAAGGCAAAAGACAGCCCTTGTTCTCAAGGAGCTCACAATCTAATGAAGAAGACAACAAGCAAACAAATATATACAAAATAAGTTGTACACGAGACAAATAAGAAATAATTAACAGAGGAGAGTTAGTTCTAGAATTAAGAGGGGTTGAGGAAGGATTCCAGCAAAAGAAGAATATTGGTTGAGATTTAAAAGAAGCCAGATAAGTCAGTAAGCAGAGTTTAGGAGAAAGAGCATTATGGGCAGGGGGGACAGCTAGAGAAAATGCCCAGAGTGGCTTGTTAATGAAACAGCCAGGAGGCCAATATCATTAGACTGAAGAATACATACCGGAGAGTAAGATGCACTACAACTGAAAAGGTAGAGGGGGATAGATTAGGAAGGGCTTTGCATGGCATTTTGTATTTGATCCTTAAGGCAACAGGGAGTCACTGGAGTTTATTGTGGGAGGCAGGTACTAGTCTTTAGGGAAATGACTGTAGTGGCTAAATAACAGATGGATTAGAGTTAGGAGAGAGTTCAGGTAGGCAGACCCAGCAACAGGCCATTACAATTTTCCAAGTGTGAAGTGATGATTACCTGCACTACAATGGTGTCAGTATCAGGGGACAGAAGGAGATGTACACAAAGGAGATGTTGCGAAAGTGAAATTGATGGGCCTTGGCAAGTGATTGGATATGGATAGATTGGATATTGGACATGGATATGGTGAAAGAATGTAAGGAGTCCAAGATGGCTCCTAGGTTGTGAACCTGAGAGACTGGGAGAATGGTATTTCCCTCTCAAGCAACAGGGAAGGTGTCTGCAGTGGGGACTGGAGGAGGAACGCGGGGTATGGTTTAGAGAGAAAGATAAGAGTACAGTTTTGGACATGTTGAATTTACGATGGATACTGGACATCCAGTTTCTGGTGTCTGAAAGGCATTTGGAGATACAAGTTTGGAGGTCAGGAGAGAATTTGGGGCAGCATAGGTAAATTTGAAAATCATTAGCATAGATATGATAATTAAATCATGATGAGCTCACCAAGTAAAGTGGTATAGAGAAAAAAGAGGAGAGGGCCCAGGTCAGAACTCTGAGGGAGAAACCCTCTGATTAAAGGGCAAGATCTCGAAAAGGATCCAGCAAAGAAGAGGAACAGTCAGATAGGTTGGAAAACCAAGCAACAGTGTATCCTGAAAATCTACAGAGAAGAGAATATCAAGGAAGAGAGAGTGAGCAACAGTGCCAAAGGCTGTGGAGAGGTCACAGGGAATGAGATTGAGAAAAGGTCAATAGATTTGTCAACTAATAGATTATTAGTAACTTTGAAGAAAGCAGTTTCCAAAGAATGATAAGGTCAGAACCCAGACTTTAAGAAGAGACTGAGAAGAGAGAAAAAGTGTACCTGTTGGTACACAGAAGATGGTCTTTTGGAAAAGTTTAGCCTCAAAGGGCAGAAGAGATATAAAATGGCAGTAAACAGGGATGGAAAGATTAAATGTATCATTTTTCAGATTCACTGGAGGACAACCATTCCAGTCTTCATCCCCTTTTGCTAATTCTCAGGGTTCAAAGGCAGTGTAGACAATATGCTCTGGAATATTATCAGAAATTACCATCATTGTAAAGACTCTCACTAACTGGCCCTCACCCTGGATTAAAATCAGGTAAATATCTTGTACTATGGGCCAGTTTCCTTTTTTCTTAACACTGAACCACAGACCTACAGGTTTAGACAAAATCATTGTAATTTATCAGCAGTATCAAGTAAATAAAAATGAATATTAACCAAACCCACCCCTTTCGATTCTGGTGTCTCCACTAGTTTCACTTTTTTTTCTGAATCAATCAAAACTATGTGAATAGGGCTTGTATATCCTGAATCAATCAAAGCTATTATGTGAGAGACTGGGTCATGCCCTAAGCATTGTGTATAAAAGAGAGACATTATCTCAGGATTGGGGAAGAAAACATTCTGTCTAGATTCAAGAAGTTGAATCAAGCCAGGAGAAAAGGGAGGATTAAGCTGAGGCAGGGAGGGAAATATTGAGAAGAATCCCTAGGCTCTACAGGCATAACAAAGAAGAGGATCCGGGCTGCACCAAGTTTCAAGAAAAGATCAGCTCTTTCTCCAGCTTCCCTTCTCAATTCCTATTTATCCACAGACAGTAAATAATCTCCTGTTTCATTCCTCAACTATTTCAGGTAAACTGAATTTTGCTCAGCCACAAAAATAGCAGTGGTTAACCAGAGATAGATTTAAATGTATGTTTGGCAGAGTATTCGGCTTCTCTGCCTGTGTGTTAGTCATTTTTCCTGAGGCCTCAGAAAGATTATGACTGAACTAAGAACTTCTCATTTAAAGTAAACTCCCTAAAGCTGAGCTAATTATTGTAACAATATGCTACATGAAGATACACATTCAAAAGAAGAAGTCTGTGATGATGGTCATAGCTAAGGTCACTTCTTTTTCTCCTTATCTACCCTACTCTCAATTTGGGGGGTGGGAGTGGGGAGTCCTTTACTAAAGAAAAGAGTCCATAAGTTAAGCTCTGAGTGAAGTTTTCCCAGAATTATACTCTAGAAAAAAATAGTGAAGAGAGAAATCATTGACTGTACCTCTACTTTTACCAACTGCCACAACTGCAATTTAACAACTCCTACTCTCTGGTCTATAAGTTTATCTACCCCAAAGAGATCAAAGAAAGAGGGAAAGGACCCATATGTACAAAAATATTTATAAAAAAATTTTTGAGGTAATAAAGAATTGGAAGCTGAGAGAGTGCCTATCAAATGGAGAATGGCTGAACAAATTATATTATATAAAAGTGATGGAATAATATTGCACTATAAGAAAGGATGAAAGGGATGGTTTCTGAGAATCTGAGAAGCCTTTATGAACTAATTCAGAGTGAAATGAGAAAGATCAGGAGAACAATTTTTACACAAATGGCAATATTTGAAACACACACTTTGAAAGACCGGTATAAGTAAAGAGGATTTTGTTATTCCAATAGCTCCAGGACCCTAGATAATATTTCCCATGAATTATGGTTGAAAACAACTTCTACTGCATAGGCACAGTAGAGATATAGGAGTGATATAATGTAATAGTTACTATGCTTGTGCTGTGCTAGGTTAGGACGACATTGCTAAAGTTAACCTGTGAGCTTAATGTTGGCAAATTGCCTTATTTGTGTGCTTCTCTATAAATCAAGAGAGCACTGGTCAGTAAGTGTAATGCTGTGTCTGCCTCAACTGGCCCTCACTGAGGCATAGGGGAGTACACAAGCTGGAATACTGTGCCTATCTCAACTGACCCAATTGAGATGCAGGGGTAGTTGCCTTCCTCTCCTTGCCCGCCTCTGCAAGAATGGTGATTAGGGAATGCCGAAAGAGTTGGAGCTACCAATATCAGCACCCCTCT